ATTGAACAACAATCTAGCTATTTGTTTTTTAAAAATCTTTGGATTTTTGCAGAAGAAATCAACACTATGACAATATGTATTTCCCAATCTTAACATATTTGAGATGGGTGTATAAAAACCATAGTAAGTTGAGTGATGTGGTACAACAAATAAGTTTTTTTGTCTGGTTTGTCTATTTGGAACATTGAATGGTATAATAGAGAGAACTTCCGGACAATTGATTATGCCAGAGATTATTTGAAGAGATAAACCAACGATATCATAATCCTGCGATCACTTAGACTAGGTAGACTCATCAATCAATCAATCAATCAATTTTATTGGTAATAATACACATCGTGCTTTTACAAGTCAAGAATACAATTCAAGAATACAATTTACAAGAATACATACAATTATAAAATTACAGTTTGAAAAATAAAATTAGTAAAATAACTTTTTTTTTCTCCATTGAGTTGAATACAATTTAAACAATCATATTAGGTCATCAAAGTTATTATCCAAGAATTCCTGAATTGAATAAAAGGCTGTCTTCACCAAATAATCTTTGATTTTTTTGAAAAATAATCTCTCCTCAAAGAGTCTTATGGTCACTGGCAAGCAATTAAAGAAATGTGTTCCTTTTCTGGTTCTATGCAGTCTGTGATATTCAGGAATAAAGTCCTGGTTACGCCGTGTTTCATAATTATAGAGTTGGCTATGTGTTAAATATTTTTGTTTATTATTATAGACATATTTAATGCAGTTTAGTATATATGCACAAGGAAATGTTAGTGTTTTAAGCTCAGCAAAACAATGTCTGCAGCACTGGAGATATTTGAGATTCATAATAATACATATGCATCTCCTCTGTAGCCTAAAAATGTTTTCCGAATGGGAAGATTGATCCCAACTCAGCACAGTATATGTCATGTTTGAATAAAAGTAACCATAATAAGCTGACATTATAGTTGCTCTAGATACAGTTTTAACAAGTGATCTTATCATATATGTAATTTTTGAGAGCTTAGACGATAGTTGAATAATGTTTTTTTCCCATATTAGACCTCTATCAATAATTATTCCAAGAAGATTAACCTCTTCATTTCTTGGCAGATCTGAATACAGAGGTCTGAGGGTAAAATTGATAGTTTGGGTCTTGTTTCGGTTAAGAGAAAGTTTGTTCGCTAAGAACCATTCTTTTATCTGATTCTGTACCTTAGCCACAATTTCTTGAATTGGTTCTGACGGTTGATATACTTGCAGATGAATGGTGTCATCCGCAAATAGTATGAGTTATGAGGCAGCTACATTGACTTTTAAGTCATTTATATAGATCAAGAAGAGTAGAGGCCCCAAAACTGAGCCCTGTGGGACTCCATGATGCAATTGCATACTATCTGAAGAGACACCATCATATATAACATACTGAGAACATTCTGTTGGGTAGGACCTGAGAAAGGCTATACTATCAGAATGAAAGTTGTAAAACTTCTGCAATTAAGCATTTTTTTATCATTTCTACATCGGTGAATGGTTTGCAACGTTTTCCGATTTCAAGAGCCACACGAAAGCTGGCGCGAGTTGCAGACTCTTGTTCAGTATTCGCTTTGGTAAACAAAGATTGCTGCGATTTGAGTCCGCGTTTCAAAGCTTCAAATTTTTCCTTCCGCAAACTTCCTGTATACTTGGAGTAACTTTGAAGATGTTTCGATTCATAGTGTCGTTTAATGTTATAG